GACAAGATGAATATTCCACCATTTACTGGACTGATCAATTAGAAAATCCAATGTAGCTTCCATAATATCAGTTTCGCCCATAAAATTCGCCATGGAGACAGGTTCCTGCAGAATTCCAAGACCCGGAACCCAGGCATCTCTGAAAATATGAATAGAAGACCCATTCCCTACGCTCCATCTTCCCCCATTAGCCATAAGTTTTGAGGCTTCGAAGATACCTCTCCAAGCAAAAGATGGATTACTCCCCAATGAGGCGGCAAAGAGATATCCATGTGGGAAATTCCTTGCACTATACATCTTAAATAGCAGGCTGTCTTTATTCTTCAGTAGCCTCCAGCTTTGTTTTGCCAACATTGCCATATTAAAAGTGCTTAGATCTTTAAACCCTAAGCCACCAATCGATTTAGCCTTGCATAAACTCCTCCAACTAACCCAATGCACCTTTCTCTCCATCTTTCTTTGCCCCCACCAAAACTTGGCCATCATACTTTCCATCTCAAGACAGAGTTTTGTAGGAAGTTTAAAACAACTCATGGCATATGAAGGAATCGCCATTGCCACCACTTTAAGAAGAACTTCCCTGACCCTCTGTGAGAACATATTATTTTTCCATCCTTGTAATTTAAGCCAAACCTTCTGTTTAATATCAGCTAAAGAACTGGTTTTGGATTTCCAACCATAGGGGGCAGTCCGAGGTATTTATTATATTGCTGGACCTGAGAAACACCCCAAAGATTCATAATGATTCTCAACATTTTTGCTAAATACCATAGCTGTCTTCTCCTGGTTTATCAGTCATCCTGAAGCCTCTTCATATTTTTTTAGCAAGTTTAGCACATTTCTGTTAGCCTCCTTATTGGCAGCGCAAAAAATCATGCTGTCATCAGCAAATAAAAGGTGATTGAGAGCAGGAGTACGTCTACAGATACGGATTCCACCCACTAATTTCCTTCTTTCCGCATCCTTTAACAGGCTAATGAGCCCTTCAGTGCGGATGAGGAACAAATACGGGGATAAGGGATCACCTTGTCGCAATCCCCTAGAGGGGATTATATGACCTGTAGGACTTCCATTAATCATAATAGAGAAAGAGGCACTTTTGACACAATTCATGACAAGCTGTACAAGATAATCATGGAAGCCAAGCTTGAGCATTATTGACTCGAGAAAGTCCCATTCAACCCTGTCATATGCTTTGCTCATATCAAGCTTTAAGGACATGTAGCCCTTTTTACCTCTATTTTTTTGCCTTAGATAGTGCAAGACTTCATAGGCAACTAGGACATTATCCGTGATCATAAGCCAGGAATAAAAGCTGATTTAGAATTCAAAACTACACATGGGAGAACAAGCTTAATCCTATTAGCAACAACTTTAGATATTAGCTTATACATGACATTACATAAGCTAATAGGTCTATAGTCGCTCACTTTTGTGGGCTGTTTCTTTTTTGGCACAAGAGTAATAAATGTATGATTAAGCTGTTGGGGAAAAACACTAGTGTTCAAAGCATTAAAGACATCTGAAATCACCTACTCACCAATAGAAGGCCAATAGTGCTGGAAAAATAAAGGGGGCATACCATCTGGGCCTGGCACCTTTGAGGGATGCATTTCGTTAAGTGCTTTGATCACCTCCTCTCTCGTATATTGTTGGATTAGTTCAACGTTCATCTCCTCTATCACTTTTCTTTCAACTATGTTCAGTACATCATTTATGTTAGTAGGTCTAGCAGAAGCAAACAGGTTTGTAAAGTGGTTGAGAATGAGCATCTCGCACTGACCCTTCTCTAGCCAGTTGTCATTTTCATCTTTCAGCTTTAAAATGGTGTTTTTCTTTATTCTCTGAGTAGCTTTTGCATGGAAGAATTTAGTGTTCTGATCTCCCTCTGCCAGCCAACTCACTCTCGATCTTTGTTTCCACATAATTTCCTTCCTATCCACCGATTTTTGAACCTTAGCAGAAGTCCAATCGGCGTCATGGATGTTTAATACAGCATGTTCTCTGTTCTGGATGAAGGGTAGCTTCTATTTTTCCGCCTTAAGTTTAGAATCGACATTTCCAAATTGCGTCTTGTTCCAAAGTTAAAGAGAGGAACTGCATGAATTAAAGCATTGCATCACTTCCTGGCAGCAAGTACTCTGGTTTGTATTACTCTAGCATTCTTTAATAATCTCAGACATTCTTTTTCCTTCATCCACATAGCCTCAAATCCTCAATTACCATCCATATGCGAGAGCAGAGCTGTTTGGAAAGTCCCTTAGGTAATTCTGATGCTGATAAATCTTCAATTACCATCGTGCCCTCCGAGATAGAAGAAAAGCCACTTTGGCTAGGAATGAGAGAATCAATTCGGGAATCAATTATCACTGGAATTTCTGATTCTACAATTTGTATCGGCCCCATCATATTATTTGGGATATGCTCATCCCCACTAAGGAAAGTTGAATTTGATATTGAAAATCTCATATTCTCCGCCCCAATTTTTGTTTCTGCCAGAAAGATCGCTCTACCTTCCTTTGGTGTGGACTCCACCTATTGCTCACCGCCCTGAGTAAGGCTAGCACCGGAACCCAAAGGCTGCTCCGATGACCCTTCCGTTTCGTTCCTAGGGAAGGAGGACAACATCCTAGCCCCCTTTTATTCACTACCCGCTCTCATCCATATCCCATACGGGAACTCCTGTGGCGAACACTTCAACATCTCTGGATTCCACATCTCACAATCTTTATGATTATGGCCAAGAATTCTACATGGGTAACAAAAGGTGGGCATCCTTTCGTATCAAAATGGGACCCAAATTGGGAGAGACGACCCTACACAGACCTTTTTACCTCTAGGAAGAGGTTTGGAAATATCCAAACAAACTCGAACCCGCATATATTCACCTTCAGCAAGATCATTGTTTTCCAGATCAACCTCAATTACTCTTCCCAGGGCGCTACCAACAGTTTTACTTGTAGGAAATAAAACCATAATGTTTACCGTCATAAGATCGTTCATGTTGGATCATCAAGAACTAATTAACCAAAAGCGGAAGCATCCCTGGATCAG